GTAGATTTGGTAGTAGGCATTTTTGCGAATATGTAGAACACTCAAAGCCCCATTTTTGGGATAGACCCAGTAAGCATATTTTTAAATTTACGACAGCGTTCTAAGTTAGATTTGAACCAATGTTTTGTGTACTGTAGTTCTACTATATACTACGCATCGGTTCAACAAGGTATCCTGATCATGACAGTTGATTATATATATTGGGATATATATAATCAATTTTTTTTAAGATTTGTTAAAACGTTATTTTTGCTCAGTCTTTAATGAGACCGAACCCAGTTGCTGTGTGCTGTTGTACTACTATATACGCATCGTCCCAACAAGGCAGCCTAATGAAAACAGTTGTTTATATATATTTGGATATATATCTTAAATAGAACATGTTCTGTAAGGAATAATTTATAGTTATATCTATTTCCTATGTTCACTTATTTCACTGATATCAGATTTCCGTATATTTTTATAGAATATGTTCTGTAAGGAATAAAGTGCAAATAAGTTCACTTTCTATCTTTTTCACTGAGTTCGTATTTTTCTATGTGTAAAATCTTTTTTCTCCTTCATGTGAATAAAATGTATTTATTTAAAATGAAATTAATTCAGGATTTTACACATTTTCTAAAAATGTATTTATTCCACACTTTCACATGATACTCTCTAAGCAGTTTAATTCTCAAACAAGTATGTGTATTTAAGTCCTATTTAATTTGATTTATTCAATTTAAACCAGGCAAAGGCTTAACATACGAAATAATACAATTAACGACCTGTCTTGCAGAATCATCAAGCAACCGTTTGCATCCTTTTGGAAAGGATTTCAAGTGGAAATAAGACAACGCTAGCAGTAACAGTAACTCACAACAATAAGGTTAAATCAGCTTAACTGAACCAACTCACTAGCAAAGAGGGTCAATTATAAACAAAGAGCAAAATCCACAAAATCAAACAAAATGGAAATTTAAATAAAAAATTTTTTATATAAAAAAGAGTCCTGAATATCTTTACGAATACAATAGACTTTTGTTTGGTATTCACAAACAACAGAAGAAATCAAAGTAAAAAATAAAAAATATGCAGAATCACAAAATCGTTTATATTTGCCAAAAAAAAGGGATTCTTGTGTAATATACTGTGAACTTTAAGTGTTTTTAAATCCTTTTAGATTAGAAGTTAATGTGCTTTAAAAAATTGTTTTTAAGGAAAGGATACAGCAGGTTGACACCAACTTTGAAATGTTTAAAATACAATACAATAATCTATTCCCATCGTTACCACCAACAGATACTATAATACAAATAATATAGAGATACTGTAAACACTATTTATCTCAACTGGATAGTAGTACTGATATATATAATGAAATAATTTTTTATATATCAATCATATCTATTTCCTTTTTGACATGTCACATCTTACCGCTATCCTTTAGTTTTTATAGAAAGCATTTTTGTGAAGAGATGAAATGGATTGGGGGTAGAATCGTCCTTAATTAGAAAACCTTTTATTCCACATTAGCCTTAAGCGTGCTGTATTAAATACTCGCATTTAAATAATTTTAGTTTAAATTTTAAATGGTAAAAAATATGCGGTTTCAATTCTTTACTTATTTATCTTATCATTTAATAATAAAATAATAAAAACTCTGAAAAGTAGAATTTTGTGTTACCCCACATTTATGTCTATTTTTCTTGATTCTTGAGATTTTCAATTTTCTGTTTTATTCAATTCATTTGCATAAGGATAATTTATTTCGTATTTTGTTGAAATTTCTGTAATTTATGTGTAACTCACCGCACAGCAGGATGCTTGTCTTGTACTGCATATAAAACCTTTTAATTAAAGGAAGTGGCTAGGAGTTTTTGAGTGCTTTAAAGACTTTCTCAAAGTAGACGAATTTATAAGAAATCAACTTAAAGTATCTTAACTATGGTTCACACATAAAATGCAAGAACATTTTAATTGTCTTTAGACGAGACTTTACTTTACTCAAAGTAATAACTTCATAGCTTTTTGTGGAAAAATTTTGATTCCACTACATGCAGCACGCAAATCTTGAACTAAGAAAAATTCATGGATCTAGAAACGCGAATTCGATACAAGGATGAACTGAAAAATATCAAGGCTACTAAATCTTGCCTGGTTTATATTGAGATTTTTTTTGGGAGAGCAAATTATGCCCTAAATATCAGGATGTATAGTTGCCTCTACTAATAATAATTAAATTCATATCTATAGGCTCGAATTGTACACTATTCTTAAGTTTCTTAATTAATATATAATAATTATAGAGAGGTTTCGAAGTGTAATGAATTGTAACAATAAAATTTTTATTTATTTTTAATTAATTGAATTTTTGGCTGACCATACATCTGTTCCGAATATTGCCAAATACTCATCATCAGTGGTCTTAAAAATAAATCTTCTATTTAATTATTCGTAAATAATTTTTTAAACTCCAATTACTAAGGATAGAACTCGTAGAACTCATAACATTACTAAATACTTAGGCATGACCCTGAAGACTAAACTCAGTTGGAATACACAAAGTAAAAAGAAAAAAGCCTCATTTATACAGAAATTCAGGTATATGTTTCGAATGATGGGTTAGTTGCTCTATTCACATATAATAAAACGCTGTTATAGAAGTAAGTTGTCTTGGAAGTAATTCTTCTATTTAATTATTCGTAAATAATTTTTTAAACTCCAAGTACTAAGGGTCGAACTTGTGCCCTACAAAATTTGAAGCTCAAAGTCAGCGCTCATTAACCAACTGACCGAAAGCCGTACTTGACTTTTATGTTCGCACATTTTTCTGGGGTTTTGTTACTTTGCTATGAAAGTTTTATTAACAAATTCACTTGCTGTGTTAAGTTATATTAAAACAAAATCATAAACCAGCTGTAGAATAATTGAATTAATTAATTAAATATTTATTATTTTCAAGTATAAAATTTAAATATTATTCTGTATTAATAATAATATATTATAATAAATATAAGTATAATTAAATATAAGAAATAAATCTAAGCGACCACTGATGATGGGTATTTGGCTATAATCGAATATGGTGAACTAAAAATTAAGTTATTAAAAAAAATAATAAAAATTTTGTTGTTGCAATTTACTACTGTTTAAAACCTCTTCTTTAAATACAATAATTTATATTAATTATCAAATTTAGTTTGTTAGGTATCAAATTTAGTTTGAAATTTCTTTAATATGAATTTAGCTAAACTTCTACTTCAAATTCACTTTAAATTAAAAAAGTAGTTCAAAATTGGTCTCTTTAACATTTATTGAAAAACCCAATAGTGCCATGTTTTAATTTCAAATTAAGAGCTATTTAAGCATTGGTAGATACAGCATTTGAAACTGAACCCCTTGTGTAGTTTCTAGTTTCTATTCTATTACTTACTCATTTGAAAAAATTCTAACCTTCGTATGAAAAAATGCTTTTCATTATCAAATTTCGTATAGAAATTTTTTTCCTCCTCATAATCGAAATCAAAGTCAATACATCCAGCCTCATAGCTTTTGTGCTGCTGACACTGCACTTCTCTAAATGTGATTGGTAATTTTTTTTTAAGTTTTTCTTATTTTTTCCTATCCATGTTTTTGTTAGCAATAAGGATGAAATGAGAGCTGCTAAGTTATACACACACAGAGGGAGACTTTGGAACAGTGCTAACAAACAATCATTCAATTTTCCAAGTGCTTTCTGCTGTTGAAAACTTCCTTCATTTTTGTACTTCCGTTGCTCTTGTTCCAAAAGTCATTGCCGTTTCGCTTACTTCTCAGTGTCACGCTCAGCAAAGTCAAAGCCATTATATCTACATTCAATCGTAAATAGTGGGTTCCATTTGATGAGGCTTATTGGCAAATCAATGGCTTTGCTATCAGCAATCAAAGGCAGATTCCACTGCTGCTAACTCTGCTAACTCTGCTGGAACTTGCTACCTTTAGCAGTAAAATTTATCAGTGAGTTGGCATTTCACACAGAAATCTTCTTTTGTTTTGTAAAAGAAGTGAAGATATTTGAATTGAAGTTTCTGTAGTTAGTAGTTTTATGCGTCTTTGAGCTAAAATTCAACACAAACTTCTGATTTCGGAATGAAGGAGCAGTTGGTTTTGTTGTAATTGCTTGACTACTCAGTCTTCTTCTGCTAACTGTGAGCTTCAATATTGCCATGATTATTAGAGAAATTATGCAAATTTTTGTTTAAACTGCAGAATAAGCAATTAGATTTCATTTTCCATTGAAAATGAAATGAAAATAAATTAAATTTTAAGAATTTTTTAAAATTGTTTGCAAATTTTTTTGCTTTTCAAGCATTTTTTTTTTGTTTCCAGCAAAGTTGAATTTGTGATTACCTTGTCTTATCAGAAAAAATATTTTTCTACATATTTACTTTTGTTTAAGTTTAAGAGAAATATTTGTGTTTTTTTAATTGGTTCCTACAAAAATATAAAGCAAAATATGAAATTTTATAAAAAAAGCAAAGTTATAAAGCACAATTTTTTATTTTGCCTTTTGCAGTTTTATATGTTGGTCATTATTTGCATTACACTTTCGTATTTCCTGAGTTAAAACGGAGTGTAGATATGTATATGTCCTAATGGCTTCTGAGTACTTTAAAATATTTCCGTCTGCACTTTGCCAACATTTAAGCTTCTAAAAGAATGCAAACACACATGAATACGAGTATAGATAATAAGAGACCCACACCGTAGTGCTTTTATGTCGGTGACTTAGAAAATTTAGATTGTTTATTTTTTTTTTTTTGTGTTCTACCGAAGGCATAGTTTTGGTTAACCTCGTTTTTGCGGCATGCAATATAAGTTTTCATATGAAAATTTTTCTTTTTATTCAATATTTTCTCACTACTGTTTGTGGTCGGATGTTTGTCACTGCATATCAAAGGAGTTCTCGAGCTAAGTTCAGGCTAATGCTCAACTTGCGGAAATATGAAAAAATGGTTTGTTTCAACCGCTTGAAAAATATGTACACACCGAAGGTGGAATATGCTAATTATAATGTACAGAAAGTAAAATACTTTTACTGCACACTTGTTCGTTTTGTGAATAACAACAATAGTACCAACCTAGAATAGTACCAACTAAAACATAGCGTATATTGTGGTTAAAACTTCAAACGTTATTGGACAATATTTCATAACTTTTACGTACGACACATAGCATGAATGTCACAAATATTTTATCCTTTTAATTTAAGTTAAAAATTTTCTTAAAAGTGAATTTGGTTAAGCTGTGGTATTTTATAGTAAACACCTAAAATACAAAAACAACAAAAAAGAGTTTAAATATCAGGTATATTATATGAGTCGAAGTTACTAAATTTGCGCCTCATGGCGTATGAGTGATTTAATATCGTTACGAATAAATTTTAAATAAATTCATTAAAATATTTTGCCTGCCAGTGGCAATGTATATTGCTTTAGTGTATCGTGTATTGCAATAATGAATTTTAAATATTTTTTTTAATTAAGTGTTTTAAAAATATCAAATTTAGTTTTACAGTTTTTAAAACATTTAATTTTAATAAATTTAACATAACATTTTTAATAGGAAATCAATAAATATAATATTTTATACATAGTTTCTCAAACATATACCGATACATATTTAACGTTACAAATTTATTTCTTATTAGATATGTTAATTGTGATGTATAAGAGTTGGCAGCAGATAATACCTTTATTCTCTTCTCTACGCAGGGCTTTATTGATCGACACTGGAAAAAACTGACAATTTACGAATATATCACTTTTATTGTAAAACCACTTTTTGCTTAAAGTATCATAGAAGGAATATACCTCAGAGGTACTAACGTACCAACGAAGCTTCGATGTCTTCTTTAGGGATATCTATTCAAGTCTTAACTGTTGCTCTAGGGTTAATTAAGAGATGTGCTATGCAAAAACATAATCCTTATACTTTTCTGTTTAAAGTATCCCTCTATATCTAAAATTATTTTAAGCGGCGCCAATAAGTTGTCGGGTTGCATATTCATTCTGTTAAAAAATTAAAACGCTTCTATCTTTATATACTTGGAATACAAGGATCTGTGAAAATATCGGAGTTTCTGACATATCTAGAAATTGTCTTATATGTTACATATGGTCATGTTTTTAAGTTTTAGCAGTTGCTAGAGTCTAGAGTGGATTAAGCAATGTGTGATGCGAAAGCACAACCCACGAATTAATATGTTTAAACTATCACAGAAAGGCGTATCTTTCCTTCATCGCTTGAATTCTTCAAAACGGAGTTAATGAATTGATGGGGTGAAGATCTGTTTAGAAGTTTAGACGTTATAATCTTAATTCGCTTTATGATGGTTTTAAAAGGAAGATCTCTATGAATATCTTGGATAGAGTGGTGTTTTAAAATGCTATGTTTTAAAATGCTTACAACTGCTCAAAACTTGCATTAAGCGATGTGCGATACGGGAGTATAACCCGGATATTTTTAAGTTAAAAGTAAATTGCTCTAAGGTAGATTAGGTGACGTGCGATATGAAAGTTAATTACTTTCCGTATAACTTTCTGTTTAAAGTATTTTGCTCTATGATAGATTAAAGGATGTGCAATGCAAAAGCATAACTTACGAGTATAAACTTTTTTGTTTGAAGTATCACAGAACGGATATCAGCAAATCTTCTTTATATCGGTTCAATTATTGTAAGGGAACCTATAAATTTGTTGTTACTAAGATATGTTTTGTGAATATCGAAGATAGTTGAAGCTTTATGTACTCGGATATACGGTCAATATAAAAATCTGAATGAATATAAATTCTGATTTTTAATATACCATGATATTTGGAACTCTTTTTTAGGGTAATGCTGTAAAATTTTTTCAAGAATGAATTTATTCACTTCACTGAAAACATCACAATAGGATAGCAAAAATGATGTAATGATTTATTTTATAGGAGAATTTATTTTTTAACCTTGAAGAGGGGTTGAAGCTGATTATGAGTTCATGCAGATTATTTTACTCGTATTTGTGTTGATGACATGGTTTCAATCAACTCTTTATGAAAAGTCAGTGCCAGTTGTTTGTTTTCATTACTTCACTTAATTTTAAAATTGTTCACTGTTGATTCAGAACCTTTAAATTCTGATACAAGTGATAGAAATTACTCTTCTTTTATATCCATTGCGTTATCTTCCATTCTGAAAGTAATTGACCAGATCATCAACGTATACCTGCAGAGAGTTGGAAATTTTAATTGCATAAACAATAGAATACATAATGTGTGTGTCATTATCGTATAAGAAATATAACTTTGGTTCCATTTTTGGAGTATCTACGGTATAAATTAAATAAAGCATGAAATAAAGTGGTGATCCTTAGTGGTATAAATTAAATAAAGCATAGAAGAAATTGGAGGCTTAAATATATGTTTGTTCAAAATAGATTCCCAATAAGTTACATATAATTCCAGTGCATATCAAGTGACACTTTGAACTGACTTTAGGCAGTGTATTGAAACAAAAAATAAAAAAATAATACAACACAAGTAGCGGCGATAGACCACATAAAATTCTAACTCACAAAGAAATTTCCCTTCATATGAAAATATTTCGCCTGCAAAAATATAAAATTTTGTCATACTCTGACAACATTTTTTTAAAACTTTTTATGTTTGCGGGAAGTGCTTATTTTTTTTCTTCTAAATGCTTATGTGTTCAGAAAAGGTCTTTATTTACACCTTCAACCACATATATTTCTGGTTAAAAAAGTGTGATCAACATGCTAAATACATACGCCACTAGAAATGCCTGGAACACCGCAAAACAAATGTTACTATGAAAATGTATTGACCGTTGAACTTCACGAAATGCAAACCAAACATAAACTCACATAAAAGATACTTCACAATGTGGTGTATTGTCATTTTGTATGAGAACAGCAGTAAACTAAAGTGTTTGTGATGTATAAGGGAAGTACATTGAGAAATGTTAATACGAAGGTACGAGTGACTAAATAAAAGAACGCATGAGATATAGGAATAAATAAATATACTATAATACATGCCTTATTGTGTAGTACACGAGCATTTTTTATTGAAAATAATGTAATTATTTAAAAAATAAATAAAAAAAAGTAATGGCTAAAGCTAAATATTTAGCCCACTTAGTAACTGCTTTCGTTTGATTTAAATAGGCTTAACTTATATTTTTAGCTATTAATTTGTAATTTAATTATTTTATTTTTATTTTTAATTAAAACTGAAATATTGAAAATTAAAAAATATTTCGAATATTTAAGTGATCTGCTTTTGCAAATCCAATTTATACTGCTTTAATTTTCTTATTATGCGGTCTGAATTAATTTTTATTTAAAAAAAGTTAACTGATAATAATAATTGAATTATATTGAAACAGCTGACGAATATTAAATTAATTGAAAAATTCTTTCCAATTTTTACTGATATTACTTATATAATTCTGCAGTTTAAAATTTTTTTAATTCAAATTATTTTCACTGACAATAAATTAATTAGATTGAAACAGCTGACAAACAACAAATTAATAGAAAATTTCTTTACAAAGAAAGCTGTTTTTGTTTTAGATTAGATTGTTTTAGATTAGATTTTATTATAAAAATATATTTCTTTTATCAATTGCTTTATTTTCATTAATTCTTATTATTTATTTTGAATTTTATTTTATAAAAATATTTACAGTATTTATTCATTATTTAGTGGTTCAGCAAAATAATTCAAGTTGCCCTCAAAGTATGCAACGATAAAATGAACAATAATGCTATTAAATTAAAGTAATTAATAATATAATTAATTTTTTTCTCAAATTTTGAGCTCAGTATTTCAGTATTTATAAAATGTTTCGCTTATTTATTGTTATATAGAATATATATTATATAGAACTGAGCTTAATAACACCTAGTGACAAAGAGGACCAAGTTGATCTCTATAGTTATAAGGCATTGTATGAGTGTTGTTATGTCAATAAAATAAATAGAATAGATAAGTAAATAAGTATAATAATTATATATATAAATACAATATAATATATAAAGGTACTTTAGGTTTATACCTGGATGTCTGTATTTTTAATCTAATATAATGTACTTATGTATTTGTAATATTTTTTTTAATATTTTTTCTTTTTAAAATAATAAATAAATTCAGCTTCTGATTAATTGGTAAATGCTTTTTCCAATTGTTAAGCAGTTTTTTCTTCGGAGAATTGATAATTGAAAATATGCATAGGTAAAATAATTTAAAATATTTTTCCCATTTATTTTTCATAAATTATTTCTCCCAGTAAACTTTTTACTTCTGTGAATAAATTCTCCTGTGGAAAATTATAAGAGCACCAGGTGCTTTTTATACTGAAATTTGCATTAAATTAATAAACGCGTTTTAAATTCTTCATTTTAGAGAATTTATTAAAGGTTTTTTGCATTTCCTACGTAACGATGAATATGAGATAAATTTTTTTAAATTTAAAAAATTTATTCAATAAATTTATAGAACGAAGTTTTAGTCAAACTCTACGAGTTTTTAGAGTTTTTTAATTAGGAGCCAATATATCTCTCTTGCGTAAATGTAATCCAAGCAACCATAAATACATAATAAAATGGAGTACAATTGCTTTTTATATTTGAGTTTAAAATTGATTAATAAAGTAAGCTTCCAAAACTTTTCGGGCAATCAATTTATGCCTCAAGCAGTGAATTTTTATGAACAACCAACATATTTTTCCCAATTTTTTTCCATTTTGTTTTTGGTAATGAAAACTCTTCCACTAGACATTACTTTTTTTTTTGTAGTTCAACTTTTCGGACTTTTTTCACAAAAAATACTGATATTTCTTCTTTTTTATTGGATGTCTGCTTGGACATCCCAAAGGAGTTTAAATTTGTCAAACAAATTTAATGGTTAAAGTTTTCGTGTAAGACTGTTAAGGGCAGAGTTTTTTGTTCAGGACTTACTGCTTTCTAATGAGGCTTGTAAATTTTGCTGTTAACTTTCCAAAAATATTACCAAAATTTTTAAAATTATTTGCAAAGTTTATTGTAATTGTATTCCGGTTGTAAAAAATATATTGTTCTTGTTCGTTTGAGTAGATGAGTAGTGAATTTCACAAGTATCAGGAATGAAATAGTTTTCTTATAGCCGTTTTATTAACTGAATAAATAAATAGTTAATAACTGCTATAGTGCATTGAATATTCTGACAAGGGTCACAGTCAACCACTATCAACCCTGGAAAGGAATTGGGTCATTTTTTGTGCAATGATTGCATTTTAAGTTCTATTACTGAACACTAAATGAAAGATACGCAATACAAAAGGGCGCACAGTACTATAGACACGAGTGCTGGTTTCTTGATCGTAGACACATGAAAAAATCGTATGGAGAGGGGAGGAGGATAACTATTATTATTTACTAAGATATAGTAGATTTAATAGAGTTCCACCCGATATGAAATCATACAATGATTTATTCAAATGGCTGAACTTATATATTATTAAAAATAGTTTATATCTTAAAATGGATTTGGAAAGTTTGATAATTTTTAGATGACTGTTTTTTAGAATTTTTAATCTTATTTTTTTGGTTCTTGTTTCTATTTCACAGAATTTGGGATAACATTTGAATTATGGATTAGATTGAATTTATATTAAGGTAAGGTCAATATCAGACTTCTGAACATCACAGCACTATAGGAATAGAATGGTTTCGAAATCAGTACTGTAGGTATGAGTTTATACTAAGGATTAATATTTCTGACATAAGAAAAATAAAAAAAATTGTGATTGCAATTTTATTTCTATTGAAAAAGTAGCTCTCCCGGTTTGAGTCGATACTTAGGATGGATACTCTTTACACCAAAAAAAAAAAAAACAAACAACTAACTATAAAATTTCTGCAAAGATTTGATGTAAATGAAACACAATGAAGGCAATATAGATCACTCACAAAGAATAAACGAATAATTAAGAACATGAAGAATAATTAAAGGTGGTTGTCAAGTTCCATTAATCATTAAAAATGATATGATACTCCTAAATCTGCTATTATTTTTGAAGTTAAGAGACTGTTAGTTAATGTTATCATACGTTAATATTTTATCCTATTATGTTAATGTTATAGCTTCTCCAGATGATATAAGTTTGATTTAGCTAAGCTGACTGATCCCTGTTTTTAAAGAGTAGTACATGCACAAGACATATGGAAGATACATCATTGT